CTTCTCCTCCCTTCCATTTTGCGCCCATTCGGCCGCGTTTCCAAAAGAGTCTGGCGACTGAGTGGGCGATCGGCTGTCCGGTCGACCTTTGGCTGGCAAGTGGCAAATGAAAGTGGACCGGCAACATGTCGTCCAGCGTCGAACTGGGCAGAAGAGGGTTCGAGAGGAGGCGGACATGCCGGGGCCACATGCGGTGCGGGAGTGTGAGAGGCGTCGACCTGTGATGGGTGGTGGGGGTGGCAATGTACAGTTTCAGACCGCCTCCGAAGCGGACTCCGCTCGGCCGGCAACCAGACACTGGGCTTGCCAGAGACGAGGCGACCGGAGGCAGTCGAAGCGTCATTAACCGGCAATTGGGTCCGCAGCAGAAGACGAGACACGTACCCTCCGGCACTCGAGACGAAAGCAAATCTCGGCCCGGCTTCATTCAATCCCCCTTCACGACGCCTCGGACATGCGGTCGTCGCGGCAGGCGTCCGATTGTCGCGCAACTGGCCAGCTTAGATCGCACCGGATCTCGATGCCGGACAAAGCGGGACATGCTCTCCACCAACGGACACAAGAGTTGCCCAGCAACTCATGCGAAACGCCTCTGAAGCTGTTTGCATCAATCCAATCTCTGCACACTTTCGCGACAGCCTGCATTCCGCATGCATGTACAGAGCGATAGCGCAATTTCCACAATTACGAATGATTTAATTGTTCAAGACATGAAGACAAACTGGCTTTCCTTTTGGGATGCCTCATTAAGATCACAAGATTGGCTGCGTAAAAAAGTGACTACGCTTGTAGCTGGCCACTTTTTCTCTTGGTTTTGTACATTTTTGCCCCATTTCCTAAAGTATGCCTTCTCGCTCTGAGGATGTCTGTCACGGCGGTAGAGACGAATGCTTGGGACAAGTGCTCGAGAGGGTGGCAGCAAGGTGAGCCGAGGACTTCTTCGCACAATCCAACAGTCTGACCTCCTTCGGTTTCCGGGCCGATGAGATCATGAATCGCCTCCAGCCAACTTTTCCTTCGAAATGGAAAGTTATGTCACAATTTTATTGAAATGGGTTGACCTCGTTGTCGCAACTTGGTCTTGTTGTCAGGGCGACTTAGTAGAACGCATGTTAGTTGTCTGGATTCCCAGCATCAGACAGTGGACTTGGTACATTCTCAAGTCCACCAAGTTGTGACAACGAGTTTAACCCCCTTCTATAATTCGAAATGACACTGCGACCATCACAATTTTATTGTTTATTGCAATAAAGTTGCCTTGTCTGTAAAGAATTAACTTAAACAGTCCAAACACTTTAGCCATAACGTGATCAGAACTGTATTAACTGCTTCAGGTGGCGAATATTTTTAACGAAACTTTCATCCCACAATCTGACGGCACGCTTCCACTGAAATACGACTTTTTTCATGTACACCTTCCAATGCATATACTACTTGCTGGCATAAGTAGTAGTAACTGTTCTAATAATTTCGAGGAGTAATGCTTTCGACTGGGTGTGTGTATTTTTTTTGTGAAAGCCTCGGCATTCAAACCTTTTCCTCGCATCTGAACCGCGTGTGCTTTTAACCGCCAAGCATAGAAGATGAGCACAACTTGGACAGGATCTCGATGTCGAACAATGCAGGACATCATGTCCGCCGACAGACACAAGATTTGCCCATCAACTCATCGGAAACGGCTCTGAAGCCATTTGCATTGATCCGATTTTTCGCAAAACGAATACTGTAATAACTAAATTTCCAGATTAGTGAACAATTTAATGGTTATTACAATCAAATAGCCTTATAGAGTGTTGAGAAATTTCATTATAATCAAAAGTTTCCCTAAACGCATATTTGAGGCGAATGACTTGCATAATAGACCCACATCACTTATTATTAGCGAAGTATGCAATCTCGCAAAGATGGAACGCCAATCGTCTTTTTAGTTCACATTCTTCAGAAAACTTATTTCGCACAATGCTCAACAGGAACAATTGCTTGTGCAATTGAAATTTTGCTGAGAAGAAAAGCGAATTTTAGCATGCCCAATATCAA